AAAAAAAAAAAAAAAAGGAGTGCTTCACTAATTTGCCTGTATTCCTGATTCCGTGGGGCTGGGTTGGGGCCCAGGAGTCTGTACTCAGGAAGGACCCCCACAGCGCCACGGTGGGGTTGAGGAGGTCTTGGTAAGCAAGTGTTTCCTTTCCCTAAGGTGTAAACAGCACTTGAATTAAGTTGTCTCTTGTAGGGTAACAAATTGCTCCAAAATTGGGCAGCGGAAGAGCCTGTTTTCAATTCCTGTCAGACAGGAGGAGGACTTGGAAGGTAAATAGCCTATATCAGTCATCTATGGATGCATAACAAATTACCCCAAACGGAGAGACTTAGGATAATAAACATTCACTATCTCACATGGTAGTGGCTGCCTGGGTGGCTTTGGTTCAGCCTTTCCTGGGGTGCAGCCCCTGGGTGGAGTGCTTGCTTGGCATGCGCAGAGCCCTGGGTTTGAGCTCCTGCAAAGTGTAGGCGGGGTTTCCCCTCACACGTGGGTGTTGAATTAGTGCATGCTTTGCAGGGGACCACAGTGTCCCTGCAGCTTGACAGCAGGGTACTCCCACCTTGAGTCATTCCAGAGGCAGCCAGGTGGAACCCAGGCTGACCTCTATAACCTAGTTTAGGAGATCATGGATTGGCCCCATTCAGGATGGGAGGGGCCTGCTAAGAATTTGCCAGGAACTGTTTCCAGCCGTGGAGGTTAAAGTGCTTAACAGAAGAAAACTTGGAAGTTATCACCCAGGATGCAGAGGGAAGTTCTGTTAAACATACTTTCTGTCCTGATGTCAAAAATAATCTGGATTTTATATGCAAATACACATGTGTGCTTTAAAAAGTTGGTACCATCCAATACTGCTGTTTTATGTAGATTGTTTATTTACACTTACCATTGGGTCATAAATCCTTTTTGATGGGTAAATTTTAATTCTTAGCTTTCTGAAATGTTTGTGGGATATCAAAATTTTAGGCATAAAATTTATTTTTATTTTTTCAGGTTTTCATTCATGAAGTTTTTTTTTTTTTGGCGGAACCAGGGATTGAACTCAGACCCTTGCGCTTGCTATGGAAGCGCTTATTCCACTGAGCCATCTCCCCGGCCCCTCATGAAGTATTAAAAATACAGTGTTTATGCTAAAAACATACTAGGGGGAAAGTTAACTTCTTTCATTTAATAAATGGTATTGAGGAAATAGGGCATCCACATGCAGAAGGCTCATGTACCTTACCATATACTAAAATAGAATCAGAGCGGATCAAATACCTAAAAATTAAAACAAAAACAATTTGGTGGAAGATGAAAATAGGCAAGGGTCTTGAAGATAATAGCCACAGGCATAGGTAAGGACTTCCTGAACAGCATTCCTTACACAAATAATAACAAGAATCAACAACCCAGGAAATGGGGAAAGTTTGGGGGCCTGGCCCTAGCTCAGTTCTTTAAGTGGCTGCTTCCACAAAAGCTGTCAGCCTCAGGTTGCTGGAGTTCGATCCCCACATCCCTCCAGCCAGCCCAAAGTGCCCTGAAGGCATTTGCGGAGCAAAAAAAAAAAAAAAAAAAAAATCCTTATTCAGAAAATGGGGAAAATTTTTTGCCAGCTATTTCTTGGACAGATAACTAATACCTAGAATGTATAAAGAGGTTTAAAAAAAGATGGTGTCCAAAATAAGAGACCCAATCAAACAGTGGGCAACTGAAATGAATAAACCCTTCACAGAAGTACAAATGGCTGAAAAATACATCAAAAACGTTCCAAGATTGCAGGCCATTAACAAGATGCAAATTCAAACAATATTGATATACCATCCTGCTCTAGAATGAAGGGCTAGGATCAAGAAATCAACAGCAGGGCCAGCCAGATAGCTCAGCAGACTGAAGTGCCTGCTTAGGCAGAGCACAGCGGCTGGGGCTCGGTCCCTGGCATGCCGTGCTGACCCCACCCCTGGGGTGCGCTGAGAGGGCAATTGAGACTGGGCATGGTGGTGCATGCCTGTAATTCTGGTGCTTGGGAGGCTGAAAACATGAGAATCAGTGAGTCTGATCTGTGTAGTGAGACCCTGTAGACTGTATCTTCAAAAAAAAAAAAAACAAAAAAGGCAAGAAATCAAATAATAGCAAATGCTGATGAGGCAGCAAAAAAAACAATTCTGCATTGTTGGTGGGAATACATTTGAGCTAGTGAAACCATTATGGAACTTAGTGTGGCGCTTCCTCCACAAAACTAAAACTAGAGAGGCTGGGAGATAGCTAAGCGGCATAAGCTCCTACCTGGCAAGTGCAAGGTCCAGAGTTCGATCCCCAGTACAAAACAACAAAAAAACAAAAAAACTAAGACTAGAAATTTGACTTTGGCGTAGTTACTCCCATTCTAGATAACTTTCCCAAAGAATGAAAGGCATCAGATATCGGTGATACGTATAAACCCATGTTTATAGCAGCACAGCTTATGATAGCTTGCAAGTGGCCTCCATGCCCAGCAACAGATGACTGTGACAAGAAAATGGTACACACAGTGGAGCCCTACTCTGCGAGCTTGAGATATTCATTCATAGGTGAACGGATGCAACTTGACACTGTAATGTCGTGGAAGTGCGCTTCAGTGGGTGTCAGCTGTTGCACTGTTGTAGCTGCCCTGAAGTCCCCAATCAATCCATTTTGACTTTGGAGAAGAACAGCAGTCACCAAGTGCCAGGTGATGTTCGAATGAGGTGGCTCAGGGCGCGCTGTCATGTTTTACGACCATGCCCTTTACTTCCTTGTCACTCAGGAGTAGCACTTAATATTTAATGATGTTGGTCATGCCTCATAAAAACATTTTCAAAAGAAGACTTCCAGAGCTGCTTCAGAAAGTGGCAAGCACGATGGGATGTGTGTGTTTAAAGTGGGGTGAGTACTTTGAGGAGGACTGATGGCACAGAGTGCCTTTTACTGTAATAAAATTAAAAAACTTAGATATCACCACCTATTTTGATCACCCCGTATGTTTCTACATCAAGAGAGATGTCATTATGGAAGGACGACCTCCTTTGAGTCACGGGTTCTTCCTTTGACTTGGTGGTGTGAGAAGCTCGCTTAGGTTTTCCAGCATGGGATCTGGGTGCAGAAATATGAGATGAACCTGCCTGCAGATCCAGCGTCGTCGCTTATAATTGCTCCGTCTCTGGTTGCTTGTCACGAGCTGCTGGCATTTGCTAAAATTAGCTTAACGGGCTGCCTCCGATTAGAGGCAAGTGTGGTAAATGAGGGCTTCACTCTTAATGAAACTAATTTGTATTTGAAAATACAATGACATTTATTGCCCCCATCATTTAAATGCGTGCGTGCTTATTTGATAGTAAAAATGAGCTTCTAAACAGAACCTTTTATAAACGGTTACTGGAAATTTTTAGGAGGGGATCCTTTTGAAGTGGGTTTCCAATGTGTCCCGGCCATCTTGGGAGGCGTTTCAGACACAAATTAGAAATAACTTCTGAAAGAGTGGTTTCTATATTTAAAATGACAAGGGGACATTAGGTCCCGTTGCTCTTCAGCTTCGTCTGGGGCTGAGTCTATGGTGACGTGCTCTGGGTTTTGCTCTGAGTGCTTCGTGCTCTGTCCAGGACAGCCAGCTGTCCTGCAGTGTGCACCCATTTTCTTTGTCCTCTCTTTTCTGTGTCCTTTGTGAGGGCAAGACATGACCTTCCTACTTTTTCTGCTGGTTAATTGAGTTGGGTGAATAGATGGGTGAATGAGTTTTGGAGCATGAGTTCCTTCCCTTGTGGAGGATTTTCTTTCTGCTCCTGCTAAGCAACCATCTAGTTCTAATTACTTTTAGTCAACTTC